GCACCCAGCATGCCCCCCCTCCCTACCTCCCTGTTGCCCTCCCCTCTCTGCCACCTGTTGTCAGGGCTGGGCAGCACAGGCAGCGGTGGCAGCAGGGGGGCAGGGAGGGAAGGGGATTGGGGGGTGCAGTGTTGGTGGGTGCTGCCACCAGACACTCTCCCTTCCCATTCCCCCTCCCGCCCCACTGCCTCCCCCTCCCTGCCAACTGTTGTTGGGGGGGGCCTGCAGAGGCTCCGTCACTCCCTCTGTCCATAATGCTCCAAGCCCTCACAGCCAATCAGCACGTGCCCTCTCAGCGGAGCATGCCCAGTTGGCCCAGAAAGTTACGGACAGACAGACAGACTACAGCTTTTATTATATCTGAAATATGTATTACTGCTGTTGCATGGTATTTTATATCATCATCACTGTTTCCACAAAATATGTTCCATTGATTCACATTGTGCATAAGTGATAGTTTTCTAGTATGGTATAACACAGGGGTAAGCAAAATACAGCCTGTGCACCGGATCCACGCTCAGTGGACTCCCATTTCATCTGTCCATCTCCCATTTCACAGCAGGCCCTGTGGTGGCAGCTCCTTCTGGCTGCCACTACCAGAACCACCCCAACTGCCAAACATCCCAGCCCGCCTGCCCCATACCCACATTCAGAGGGGGCGGGACCCAGGCAGACCAGGTGTGCAGCTAGGCAGCTGGGATGGGACCACAGCCAAGGGCAACACACGTATGCAGAGCTGGGTAGACCTCAGGATCTCGGGGCAGTGACAGTGCGGGGCTCGGGCCAGAGCCAAGCCACGATCCGCTGCCCACACGACCCTGAAACAAGCACAGGTTCCATAGGCAGCGGCAAGCAGGGAACGTAGCACAACTCTGCTCCGGCCCCATGCTGTCATCATCACCCCAAGATCCCAGGGCCTGCATGGAGACCAGCCAGGAACCACCTGGGCAACTGTCCAAGAAGCCGTGCGTCAGGCCCAAGCTTCCTGGACCTGCAGCCAGTGCCAGATCATTTCAGTGATGGCCTCTTACAGAGCAGTTGTTGGCCAACATTGTGTCTGAGCCACCCCCTCACTTCTGGACTAATCATTCCCATGGTTTGTAGGACCCACAGATGGGTAAACAAGCAAAAAAGGTAGTGCGCCCCCTGTGTAAGATTCTTACTTGTGTGACTGAACAACTAGTATTTCAGCTCAGCAGCCTGTGTTTTTATTATTTTTTGTTCAGCATTTGTACTACAAGAGCACCTACACAGCCAGGCTTGTGTGGTGCTGGAAACTTTTGGCCTTGTTTTCTAGGTGCCCAGACCTGGGTACTAGAACCTAATTTCCAGCCAAGTTGGACACCATGGCTTGGTACAGACATTTAAAAAGCCCGAGGCGGAATCCATCTAAGTTACGCAGCTTTGTGCAAGCGATGTTGTTTAGATCGGTAGCAACCAGAAAACACATTTGCCCTTTTAGTGGGAGGGACAGATCTTAGACTGGGTTCCACCATTTTTAAACCAGTCTACACGTGCTGAACTGACAGGCAAGATATGAAGGAGCTGAATAACATGCCTGCAAAGCTTACAATGAGCAAGGTGACTGATGGAGAGCTCCTGCATGCCATAAAGGTTCACAATAGCCAAAGGACACCTGAAAAATCTACAAGGTGCTCTATTCTGTGGACAGCCTTTGGCAAACAAAAGAGCATTGCCTCTTTTCTGCAGTGAGAGAGACAGCACATCTTCCTTCCTCCCCCCCAGCCTACAAGAAAGGAAGCAGCAGGTGTTGACAGAAACAACTTTCAAGAATAGGAGGGGCACAAGGGGAAATGAAAAAGTACAAACTGGAAAGCCTCTTGCTCTGCGCAAGGGCTGTCCAAGCTCTCAAGGTTCAGCAACTGTACCAGCAGGAACCACACATCACAGAAGCCACAGCACTACCCACACTTCCCCAAGTGCAAGCTCCCGGTCACTGTGTAGGTGGCCAGGAGGAGCCTGCGAGCTGTCCATTACCCAGTTGAACAGCTCTACTCTAGACCTAGCACAGACTAAGGAATAAAGAAACCTTCATCATCTTGCAAAAATGGCAACAATGCTAGCTTACTCTTTTGTTATAGCAGATTTTTTACTGAACTGAGCATTAATTTCCCAGCAACAAAACTTCATGTAGCCCACTCAATATCTCCCTCACCCACATCTTTCCAACAGGTGAAATGCATGTTCCAAGATCCTGGGAGCAAGGGAGAGACTATCAGCAGGACCCTCGAGTCACGGTTAGTGCAGAGAAGACACTGGCAGCTAACAGGCACATGTAAGCTTAAGGTTGCTTGTACAACTTGGCAATCCTTTCTTGAGTAACTACTGATGCAATCACTCTTCAATTGTTAGTATCTGATATTATATTTAATTAATCTATTATTGTTATACAGTCTATACACTAAACAGCAGAAGCAGCAGCAACATAACATTAAGCAGTTGCTTTGTTAACTGCCAAAGAATCTCATCAGGGGAAAAAAGGGTTTTAAAAAGTTGGGTGGGATTTTTTTGTTAGAGAGTTTAAATGGGCAGATTTAAGACTTTTTAAAGGGGACTGCGGGGGGTGGAAAGTGCAAATGATACAACTAGCATCATAGGGATGGGTGAAAACCCCCAGCTCTTAGTGCCACGCTCTGCTTCCCATCTCCCGTCACCCATCCCTCCCAGGGTGGGCAGACCACACTGAATCAGCAGCAGCCAGGTAAGACTCTACCCAGATCTCAGGACCCCCTTCCCTACAGAACTCAGCAGCACCTCCCACCCCTTCCAGAACAGAAAGAGGGGACCTGCCTGCCAACACCACTGTCCCAGGCCAAGCCCAGCATCTTATACAGCTGCTGCTCCACACAGCTCCCA